GGCCGAGACAGTCGAAGGGAGGCAGAGAGAGTAAAAAGGTCGAGTCTGTCAAAAGGAGGCAGAGAGAGTGAAAAGGTCGAGTCTGTCAAAAGGAGGCAGAGAGAGTGAAAAGGTCGAGTCTGTCAAAAGGAGGAAGAGAGAGTAAAAAAGGCCGAGACAGTTGAAGGGAGGAAGAGAGAGTAAAAAGGTCGAGTCTGTCAAAAGGAGGAAGAGAGAGTGAAAAGGTCGAGTCTGTCAAAAGGAGGAAGAGAGAGTAAAAAGAGTCTGTCAAAAGGAGGCAGAGAGAGTGAAAAGGAGGTCTGTCAAAAGGAGAAGAGAGAGTGAGGAAGAGAGAGTGAAAAGGTCGAGTCTGTCAAAAGGAGGCAGAGAGAGAGAGTCAAAAGGAGGCAGAGAGAGACAGTCAAAAAGGGAGGCAGAGAGAGTAAAAAGGTCGAGTCTGTCAAAAGGAGGCAGAGAGAGTGAAAAGGTCGAGTCTGTCAAAAGGAGGAAGAGAGAGTAAAAAAGGCCGAGTGAGAGTGAAAAGTGAAAAGGTCGAGTCTGTCAAAAGGAGGCAGAGAGAGAGAGTAAAAAAGGCAGAGAGAGACAGTCGAGACAGGAGAGAGAGGCAGAAGAGAGAGTGAAAAGGTTGAGTCTGTCAAAAGGAGGCAGAGAGAGTGAAAAGGTCGAGTCTGTCAAAAGGAGGCAGAGAGAGTAAAAAGGTCGAGTCTGTCAAAAGGAGGCAGAGAGAGTAAAAAGGTCGAGTCTGTCAAAAGGAGGAAGAGAGAGTAAAAAAGGCCGAGACAGTCGAAGGGAGGCAGAGAGAGTGAAAAGGTCGAGTCTGTCAAAAGGAGGCAGAGAGAGTAAAAAGGTCGAGTCTGTCAAAAGGAGGCAGAGAGAGTAAAAAGGTCGAGTCTGTCAAAAGGAGGAAGAGAGAGTAAAAAAGGTCGAGTCTGTCAAAAGGAGGAAGAGAGAGTAAAAAAGGTCGAGTCTGTCAAAAGGAGGAAGAGAGAGTAAAAAAGGTCGAGTCTGTCAAAAGGAGGCAGAGAGAGTAAAAAGGTCGAGTCTGTCAAAAGGAGGCAGAGAGAGTGAAAATGCAAAATATTGATACTTTTTTCACGAATGCTTGAAATTAAGTTTTACCCGATATTTTTTACAAAAACTAATTTATGTTCTAGTTCTAATGTCACTAAATAGGAAAGAAACAAAAGCACTTCAAACACTTAATCAAAAAATTTAATATTCAATATTCAAACGAATATAACAATGTCAAAGATTAAAAAACAAAAGTTACTTTCATACATCTATACACTGTCTAATACGAGTATCTTAAATTAAATCAACATTCTATGACTCTTCTATATCACATAACTTTGAAGATTGTTATATAAGAACTTTAATTGTTGTAGACGAAAAAAATTGTAAAAATATAGCTATATACTTGTTACTATTTATCTAATAGGGAAAATGTGTGAAAGAATAAAGAATATTTTGACAACTTCATAAAGATCCTCCTTTCTATGACAGAGAATCAATTACGTTATTTTTAACAAAGGAAAATCGTTAATGATTGTCAAAAAAATAAAGATATTAAAACAGTATATGTAATATTGTTCATGCACTGAAACTGCTTAAATCCATGTTTAACGGGGAATGCATGAAAACATTTTCCTATTAACACTTATTGACAACAATGTTTTTGCTTTGTTGTGTTTTGTTTTAAAGAAAAATTCAAAATGAGCATGTTGTAATTAAGATACAACATTTATTAACGTTTCGATGGAAAAAACATTTACTTAAAGAGGTTCTGGATTTTACTTGCAATTCACAACTTATTCATCATATTCTATCAAAATATACCCTATGAAGCTTGCAAATCCCTGGAAGGTTTTTGTGATTCCTTCACAGCAGCCTCTTGTGTGTCAGTGAAGTGATCACAAGGAAAAAGTGGCGAATTTACGAATTTCTGTAAGTTGATACAGAAAGCCAGAATTTACTACATTCATTTAGAGTTCATTAACAGATTTAGACATTAAAACAATGAAAAACCTTAATAATCTGAAATAGATAAGGAGATACAAATGTTAAGCTAGGTTTACAATTATTTTAGAACTCCTTAAAATATTTTGATGCAAAATGATGTCATGACCATATAGTTGTTTAACATGGGTAACTGAAATATCTATGTTGTCAATGAACGTAATGTAGAGACAGGCTTTTATAATTAATACATTCATAAGTCTTTTCCATTTATAAAATATACAAAGGTATACCTTAATGAGACAATGTACTAATCTGTTCCAATACATGACTTGCCTTTCTGTATTGCAATAGTGTGTGGTCTTGAAATATATTTTTTTAAAATGACAAAATTTCTAAACTACTGCATTGGCTTTTCCTACTGTGTAACACTTAATTTTGCTTAGATAATTATATGCATTAATGGCATTTTCTTAATTCTCAAAAAAAGTATCTCGTCAAAAGTGATGAAGATGAAAACAATTAAGAGCCATCCATAGTTTGCCTAGGGTGTAAGCCCTATCTCATATGCTAATGCCTTCTGTACATTTACTTATATCCTTACCCTAAAAAGCTACCAAATGAACATCTTTAATCTTTAAATATTTGAAATATTCATATTTACTGATCACATCTATTACCTGTACATTGCTCCAACATACCCATTCTATCATTTTTCTTGAAGAAACTGATCCATTATTTGTGTTATCAATCACAACACCTCAGCAAAGATCTACACAATGTTACTTAACACATTTCAGTATCACTTTCCTAATAAGACTCATAAGACTTTGAATAATTATCTTGTGATAATCCCTATCAGCAATTCCTTGTTGAATGACAAAAAAAATAAATCAAAATATGGTAAATCAATATATAGGAAAGTTCCCATCCAATGGTGCATCTGATTTAAATCATATTAAAGTAAATCTACATCTGATTGTAGCCCCTCATCTGAAGTCTGAAGTACTCACCAGTGAGTGTGTGGCCATGTCTGTAATACTCACCAGTGAGTGTGTGGCTATGTCTGAAGTACTCAACAGTGAGTGTGTGGCCATGTCTGAAGTACTCACCAGTGAGTGTGTGGCCATGTCTGTAATACTCACCAGTGAGTGTGTGGCCATGTCTGTAATACTCACCAGTGAGTGTGTGGCCATGTCTGTAATACTCACCAGTGAGTGTGTGGCCATGTCTGTAATACTCACCAGTGAGTGTGTGGCCATGTCTGTAATACTCACCAGTGAGTGTGTGGCCATGTCTGAAGTACTCACCAGTGAGTGTGTGGCCATGTCTGTAATACTCACCAGTGAGTGTGTGGCCATGTCTGAAGTACTCACCAGTGAGTGTGTGGCCATGTCTGTAATACTCACCAGTGAGTGTGTGGCCATGTCTGTAATACTCACCAGTGAGTGTGTGGCCATGTCTGTAATACTCACCAGTGAGTGTGTGGCCATGTCTGAAGTACTCACCAGTGAGTGTGTGGCCATGTCTGAAGTACTCACCAGTGAGTGTGTGGCCATGTCTGTATTACTCACCAGTGAGTGTGTGGCCATGTCTGAAGTACTCACCAGTGAGTGTGTGGCCATGTCTGTAATACTCACCAGTGAGTGTGTGGCCATGTCTGAAGTACTCACCAGTGAGTGTGTGGCCATGTCTGTAATACTCACCAGTGAGTGTGTGGCCATGTCTGAAGTACTCACCAGTGAGTGTGTGGCCATGTCTGTAATACTCACCAGTGAGTGTGTGGCCATGTCTGAAGTACTCACCAGTGAGTGTGTGGCCATGTCTGTAATACTCACCAGTGAGTGTGTGGCCATGTCTGAAGTACTCACCAGTGAGTGTGTGGCCATGTCTGTAATACTCACCAGTGAGTGTGTGGCCATGTCTGAAGTACTCACCAGTGAGTGTGTGGCCATGTCTGTAATACTCACCAGTGAGTGTGTGGCCATGTCTGAAGTACTCACCAGTGAGTGTGTGGCCATGTCTGTAATACTCACCAGTGAGTGTGTGGCCATGTCTGAAGTACTCACCAGTGAGTGTGTGGCCATGTCTGTAATACTCACCAGTGAGTGTGTGGCCATGTCTGTAATACTCACCAGTGAGTGTGTGGCCATGTCTGAAGTACTCACCAGTGAGTGTGTGGCCATGTCTGTAATACTCACCAGTGAGTGTGTGGCCATGTCTGTAATACTCACCAGTGAGTGTGTGGCCATGTCTGAAGTACTCACCAGTGAGTGTGTGGCCATGTCTGAAGTACTCACCAGTGAGTGTGTGGCCATGTCTGTAATACTCACCAGTGAGTGTGTGGCCATGTCTGAAGTACTCACCAGTGAGTGTGTGGCCATGTCTGAATTACTCACCAGTGAGTGTGTGGCCATGTCTGAAGTACTCACCAGTGAGTGTGTGGCCATGTCTGTAATACTCACCAGTGAGTGTGTGGCCATGTCTGTAATACTCACCAGTGAGTGTGTGGCCATGTCTGAAGTACTCACCAGTGAGTGTGTGGCCATGTCTGTAATACTCACCAGTGAGTGTGTGGCCATGTCTGAAGTACTCACCAGTGAGTGTGTGGCCATGTCTGAAGTACTCACCAGTGAGTGTGTGGCCATGTCTGAAGTACTCACCAGTGAGTGTGTGGCCATGTCTGTAATACTCACCAGTGAGTGTGTGGCCATGTCTGTAATACTCACCAGTGAGTGTGTGGCCATGTCTGTAATACTCACCAGTGAGTGTGTGGCCATGTCTGTAATACTCACCAGTGAGTGTGTGGCCATGTCTGTAGTACTCACCAGTGAGTGTGTGGCCATGTCTGTAGTACTCACCAGTGAGTGTGTGGCCATGTCTGAAGTACTCACCAGTGAGTGTGTGGCCATGTCTGAAGTACTCACCAGTGAGTGTGTGGCCATGTCTGAAGTACTCACCAGTGAGTGTGTGGCCATGTCTGAAGTACTCACCAGTGAGTGTGTGGCCATGTCTGTAATACTCACCAGTGAGTGTGTGGCCATGTCTGTAATACTCACCAGTGAGTGTGTGGCCATGTCTGAAGTACTCACTGGCCATGTCTGAAAAAAAATGTCTGATATAACTAATATTCCACAAAAACACATTATAATTAATTTGGTCTATAAACAAGAAAAAAAATCTCAGTATTAACAATATATATATAACATAGCACTAATTATAACAAAAAGACAAACAACATCAGAAGTAGACACTTATCATCTATAAACACTGGTATAGAAATAAATAAAGGTAAAACATTTACATAACATTATATTTCTGTTCTGGCTTAACTATGTAACAGAACTCCAATGTATCGAATCTTTGTTACAGGTTTTAGTTGTAGGAATGCATATGATGTTAAACAGGTAAATTGACAGATGTGATTGGGTAAACAGGCAAATTGATAGATGTTAAACAGGTAAATTGACAGATGTTACTGGGTAAACAGGTAAATTGACAGATGTGACTAGGTAAACAGGTAAATTGATAGAGGTTTCTGGGTAAACAGGTAAATTGAGAGAGGTTGCTGGGTAAACAGGTAAACTGACATATGCTACTGGGTAAACAGGTACATTGATATAGGTTACTGGGAAAACAGGTAAATTGATTGAGGTTACTGGGTAAACAGGTACATTGATAAAGGTTACCAAGAAACGGGTAAATTGACTGGTGTTACTGGGTTAACAGGTTAACTGATAGAGATTACTGGGTAAACAGGTAAATTGACAGATGCTAAACAGGTAAATTGATAAATGTGACTGGGTAAACAGATAAATTGATAGAGGTTACTGGGTAAACAGGTAAATTGACAGATGTTAAACAGGTAAATTGATACAGGAGACTGGGTAAACATGTAAAGTGACAGATGCTACTGGGTAAATAGGTTAATTGATAGAGGTTACACGGTAACCAGGTAAATCAACAGGTGTTACTGTGTAAACAGGTAAATCAGTGGGACTACAGTGGGGGCCACATAACTTAAACAATGACTATGAAAGTTGTCATTGCACCATGGCAAGCCATACAAGCTCATTGTATCTACCAACCAAATCAGTGCACCACACAATATGTGGCTGATCACAATGTATGACATCTCATGTGACTATGATTGCCGTTAGTGTACCACACAATATGTGGCTTGTCACAATGTATGACATCTCATGTGACTATGATTGCCATTAGTGTACCACACAATATGTGGCTGATCACAATGTATGACATCTCATGTGACTATGATTGCCGTTAGTGTACCACACAATATGTGGCTGATCACAATGTATGACATCTCATGTGACTATGATTGCCATTAGTGTACCACACAATATGTGGCTTATCACAATGTTTGACATCTCATGTGAGTATGATTGCTGTTAGTGTACCACAAAATATGTGGCTGATCACAATGTATGACATCTCATGTGAGTATGATTGCCGTTAGTGTACCACAAAATATATGGCTGATCACAATGTATGACATCTCATGTGACTATGATTGCCATAAGTGTACCACACAATATGTGGCTTTTCACAATGTATGACATCTCATGTGACTATGATTGCCGTTAGTGTACCACAAGGAAAGTCATTCAATGTAATGTGTTATTTGTAAATATAATAATGATTCCTAACACATTAAAATTTTTCAGAAAATATACTGTTTCTAATTCTAGGAAATATATAAAAAAAGATAAACACTGTACATTTCAATTCAACAATCTTCTAAACACAAATTAAAAGAAATAAAACTAAATCCTTGAAATTGCTATATTGATTAGCAGCTCATAACAATGTTAATGCTCAATGTTAGGGGTAATTACAGAACAATGAGACAGCATCAGTTTGTAACTTTACTGAGAGCTGATTACCAGATATGAGCTTAACGACTGACAAATACAGCAGGTGTGTGTAGATCTTAATGTATTACTGAATTATAATAGTCTACCTATACCCCATCTATCTTCATGACGTGTAGCTAAAGCAGTAAACTGAAAAAAATCCAGCTGATAAAATATCACTTGTGGAAGAACATCAGCTACAAATCTGTAATCAGGGCAAATCTCTGATGTCAACTAACTATATAGTCAGTTTATTGTTTATTTACTTTTCTATGAAATCAATTATTTTGTATCATCATCTGCAGACATACTTAAATACCACCACTGAATCTGAAAATTGGTTAAGTCAAAGTTGCAAATCTGATAATTAGTTACGTCAAAGTTGCCAATATGATAATTGGTTAAGTCAAAGTTGCCAATCTGATAATTGGTTAAGTCAAAGTTGCCAATCTGATAATTAGTTACGTCAAAGTTGCCATTATGATAATTGGTTAAGTCAAAGTTGCCAATCTGATAGTTGGTTAAGTCAAAGTTGCCAATCTGATAATTAGTTACGTCAAAGTTGCCAATATGATAATTGGTTAAGTCAAAGTTGCCAATCTGATAATTGGTTAAGTCAAAGTTGCCAATCTGATAATTAGTTACGTCAAAGTTGCCAATCTGATAATTGGTTAAGTCAAAGTTGCCAATCTGATAATTAGTTACGTCAAAGTTGCCAATATGATAATTGGTTAAGTCAAAGTTGCCAATCTGATAATTGGTTAAGTCAAAGTTGCCAATCTGATAATTGGTTAAGTCAAAGTTGCCAATCTGATAATTGGTTAAGTCAAAGTTGCCAATCTGATAATTGGTTAAGTCAAAGTTGCCAATCTGATAATTGGTTAAGTCAAAGTTGCCAATCTGATAATTGGTTAAGTCAAAGTCGCCCATCTGATATTATTTGGCAGTCTATAATCAGTATGATTTTTAGAAGTTGACTGATTTTGTCAAAGAAAAACCAATAAAAAAAGCATCACACTGTGACAACATTCCAAAAAACGAAAATGACTAGATTCCCCTGGAACTTATCACAAAACATATTCATGTCTTAGACAGGTCTGTGATGTACGAACGGTCGTTTGACACATTTCTGATATATAAAACATGAAAATAAAGTCGAGATTGAATTTAAACTTGGGAAACATTCTCCATGTTCCGTAAAATTCAATACATCAAATAAACAGCAAAAATGAATGTTGAGTGAATGTTAACGTGGCAACACTAATAACTAGTCACTGTACAATATAAGGCTTTTACATGATGTTTCTGTAGCCTGGAGGAGACTGATAGCTAGTCACTATATAGTATTCGATTGTCACATGATAGTTCTATAGCCTGGAGAGAATGATAGCTAGTCACTATAGTCATAGTATTAGATTGTCACATGATGTTTCTGTAGCCTGGAGGAGACTGAAGTTATAGTCACTATACTGTAGTAGATTGTCACATGATGTTTCTGTCACTATAGCCTGGAGGAGACTGATAGCTAGTCACTGTACAGTATTAGATTGTCACATGATGTTTCTGTAGCCTGGAGGAGTCTGATTGCTAGTCACTATTCAGTAGTTGATTGTCACATGATGTTTCTGTAGCCTGGAGGAGACTGATAGCTAGTCACTATACAGTATTAGATTGTCACAGTTTCTGTAGCCTAGATAGCTAGTCACTATATAGTATTTGATTGTCACATGTAGTTTCTGTAGCCTGGAGGAGACTGAGAGCTAGTCACTATACAGTATTAGATTGTCACATGATGTTTCTGTAGCCTGGATTGATAGAGTCACTGATTGTCACATGATGTTTCTGTAGTCACTATACAGTATTAGATTGTCACATGATGTTTCTGTAGCCTGGAGGAGACTGATAGCTAGTCACTATATAGTATTTGATTGTCACATGATGTTTCTGTAGCCTGGAGGAGACTGATGGCTAGTCACTATACAGTATTAGATTTCACATGATTTTTCTGTAGCCTGGAGGAGACTGATAGCTAGTCACTATATTGTATTTGATTGTCACATGAAGTTTCTGTAGCCTGGAGGAGACTGAGAGCTAGTCACTGTACAGTATTAGATTGTCACATGATGTTTCTGTAGCCTGGAGGAGACTGATAGCTAGTCACTGTACAGTATTAGATTGTCACATGATGTTTCTGTAGCCTGGAGGAGACTGAGAGCTAGTCACTATATAGTACTCGATTGTCACATGATAGTTCTATAGCCTGGAGAGAATGATAGCTAGTCACTATATAGTATTTCATTGTCACATGAAGTTTCTGTAGCCTGGAGGAGACTGATAGCTAGTCACTATATAGTATTTGATTGTCACATGATGTTTCTGTAGACTGGAGGAGACTGATAGCTAGTCACTCTACAGTATTAGATTGTCACATGAAGTTTCTGTAGCCTGGAGGAAATCGATAGCTAGTCACTATACAGTATTAGATTGTCATATGATGTTTCTGTAGCCTGGAGGAGACTGAGAGCTAGTCACTGTACAGTATTAGATTGTCACATGAGGTTTCTGTAGCCTGGAGGAAATTGATAGCTAGTCACTATACAGTAGTAGATTGTCACATGATGTTTCTGTAGCCTGGAGGAGACTGATGGCTAGTCACTATACAGTAGTAGATTGTCACATGATGTTTCTGTAGCCTGGAGGAGACTGATAGCTAGTCACTATATAGTATTTGATTGTCACATGATGTTTCTGTAGCCTGGAGGAGACTGATAGCTAGTCACTATATTGTATTTGATTGTCACATGATGTTTCTGTAGCCTGGAGGAGACTGATGGCTAGTCACTATACAGTATTAGATTGTCACATGATTTTTCTGTAGCCTGGAGGAGACTGATAGCTAGTCACTATATAGTATTTGATTATCACATGAAGTTTCTGTAGCCTGGAGGAGACTGAGAGCTAGTCACTGTACAGTATTAGATTGTCACATGATGTTTCTGTAGCCTGGAGGAGACTGATGGCTAGTCACTATACAGTAGTAGATTGTCACATGATGTTTCTGTAGCCTGGAGGAGACTGATAGCTAGTCAATATATAGTATTTGATTGTCACATGATGTTTCTGTAGCCTGGAGGAGACTGATAGCTAGTCACTATATTGTATTTGATTGTCACATGATGTTTCTGTAGCCTGGAGGAGACTGATGGCTAGACACTATATTGTATTTGATTGTCATATGATTTTCCTGTAGCCTGTAGGAAATCGATAGCTAGTTACTATACAATATTAAATTGTCACATGATATTTCCATAGCGTGAAGGAGACCGATAGCTAGTCATTACACAGTATTAAATTGTCACAATATTTTTGTACCTTAAAGAGATATCCATTTTTAGTAACTACAAATGTTCATGATCAGAATTTGGATGTAGTGTCCTTCAAACAAAGCATCATCATTAAGTATTTCTCGGTGTCTTGGGTGAGGTCAACAGCCAGCTGAAGATAGTGACCTCGTAGCTCCTCTATATGGGTAGGTAACTTTTCTAACTCCTTCACATTCTCTGGAGACAGGCTACCAAATTCTTTCTCTGGTAATTTGACCCTGACCCGAAGTGGAACATGGCTCTTAGCTGGGGAAAAAAATATCAAATTCATTACATATGTAAAATTGTAGTGTTAACTTATGGCCTAAAACAGAAAAGACACTAGATAAGCTAGCATCATCCAGAATTCACTTGAGATGGGACAAAACCCTTGAGACAAATGTCTGATTCTGTCCCGCCTTTCTGTTAAAAGTATATTAAGACAAATCACATGAATACAGACAAGAATTCCACGAAAGTGAATGTATCGCCTGCCCAGCAAGGTGTGTGGAGATGAGTTTTATGGAACAATAGCCATAGATATTCATTGTATTTATTCCATTTATATAATTTGTCCATTTGTTTGAGTAAACTTGCAGATTAGATGCATAGTGTCGAAGGTAACAAAGTCCCAAGGATAAATTTTCCTTATTAAAACAAGGTCATGTTTTTATTTTAATTCAAGTTTTTTAAAAAGTTAAAGCCATGAAAAATGTTAATTTGCAATAATATCCATGTACAGTGTATATTTATCAATTTTTGCTATACATGTTAAATAGATGTAAAAGCAATGAAATAGATGTCATTTGCAGTATGCAATATATATGCATTAACTGACAGTGGAATGGTATTTGTGTTTCTGAAACTTCATTTATTTTACACAAAATGTTCAACAAGATATACCTAGTTTTAATCACACTTTTGTCTGGATGCAAGTGTGCAAAGGGTCATTCTGTGGTATGGAACCACAATATCTGGGGTAAACCTATATGGTTGGGTAGATGGCCCCTCATATTTTAAAGCTTGATGTCACATGGGCCTAGCTATCACCATATGTATGTATATCAGAACAGAATGACGGTCTTCATAATAAAAACCCTTTAGGTATATGCCATGCAGTGTGGTATATCTGCTGGTATAAAACCTCAAAAAAATCATTTGTCATCAATACAGAGTAGAGAAGGATGTGATATCCCCAGTAATCGTCTGATGTCTGTACCACTACTTCTCCACCCTGTTGTCAGATATGGGCGATTAACTGTATATATACTATCCACCATTACACCAATACATACCACAGATCAGGACACTATAATTAGAATCTCACAGGCTACCTACATCAGACATTGTCACCAACACAAAAACATATTTCTTTCTAAGAGTCAGGGGACACTGCCCTAGGACAATGAATTAACCATGTACAATTTCAAGAATCTACTGACCAGTTATATATATGGATGGGTTTAGGGTAAGGGTGGGCTTATTAGCTGGCATGGGTTTATTACTGAAAAAAGCAGGTTACATAATGCTGAACAAACCTAAGTAACACGCACCTTTCAAACATTGTAAATAACTCAGTAGAGCATAATACTGAAGCATGGCAAGCTCTTCCACTGCTACAGAGGACACCTTTGGTATTAATCTACCCGCCCCAGCTTCCTCTTCCTCTTCAGACTGGGGTGTTGTGGGAGGTGTGTTCATCAGCCTTGGGGGCTGGGCCTGGAACAAATTTTCCATCACATCACGGACTCCTGATGGGAACTCATAGTAAGAGAAAGTGTCACATTCACAATTGTTTTCTAACATCAGTATTACCAGTTTAAATTGTAACAGACTTGACTGCATTGTCTGAAGCAACAATTTTTTATATCCTAGACTTAGGTATACAAAGCTCTTGATTAACTCAGAAGCACAAGTCCTGGCACAATCAGAACAACTCAGGTTTATGTCTATCGCAATCTTCAGAAGTCGCTGCAGCAATGGCAGCAGCTTACGAACTTCTTGTCGTAGTATTACATTTTCCGTTTGACTAGATTGATTAACGCCTGGATTTCTTTCACGAAAGAAAGGTGAAGAAATTTCCTGCACTTCCTGAAACTCTCCGTAAGTGAGAGAACAGACGACCCAGTTGGTAAGTTGTTTCACACACCCTGTGTACGACATACTATCAGATGTCAGGCATTTGAATGCCATGGACTGACGCAGACCTTTGGGGTCAACAACATCGTGGTAATAAAGGTCATCCTCATAACATGTGACTGTTAGCTGGAGAAACAGACTAATTCTAAGGAGGATGACCACATCCTGTTGTACGAAACCAAGTCCAAGGTTAATATTGTCCATCACAAGTTTGAGCGTTTCCCAGTCTATCTGGATTGTCCCTGGGTACCTCTGTTGAATCAATTTCAGGGTTCGGTAAGAGCTATACATTAAATCTACTTGACTGTTCTCTAAAATTCCTTTGAACAACAATTGTTTTATAATATCACTGGTGGGAGCATACTTAAGAGAAAAATCATAGATAAATTTAATAGCATGACGAAGACAGTAAGGGCCTTCCTCCTCAAAACAAACACCTATTGTGTCAATATGCATCTTGGATAACTTTAAGGATAGAGAATCTTCAAGTCCTTCTTTTGCAGGGAACTCCATATTAAACGGCTTTATGTTTTGCCAATCTTTTAGTGTTCTTGATGGCATATCAATATAAGTTGAAGATGATGGAATTGGCTTGAAAAAGTTTCGCACATCTGATGGTTTAGGTTTCCCAGACTCTAACACTACCTCATCTGATTTCCTTACAATTCGGCGTTTAGGTACATGTATATTCGAATCTAAGGATATAGATTTACCTAATTTCATGTTAACAATTTCATAATTGTTTTTCATGATGTTATCACTGGTAGCACTAATGCACCTGCCTAACCTGAGACGTTTTGACGGAGTAGGAGACAATCCTGGTGACTTTGTCGGTATGGTATCAGTGAATGCACTTGGTGTGCTCATCTGTCGCTCTAGGACAGGTGAGCATTTGTGTCTGGAGGAGACAGGTCGGAATGAGCCAGCAGGAACGGCAGGAGGGGAGAGCATGCCAGCACTAAGGACCTTGTCTGTCGAGTTCTCTGTTGACTTGTTCTCCTGGGGACAGCCCCCACTTAAGATATCTGAAAGAACCAATATTTATATTCAGTTTGATTCTAACTTAGAATATACATTACGTGGCTGATTTGTACCATTTTGTTATTTTGTCTTATCACCATGAAAAGAAGAGAGTTAAAAATATAAATTTGGGTTCTTTCATCTTTTCGTCCTGAAAAGACGAGAATTTGCTTACTTCATCCTTGTCTTTTCGTTCTGAAATATATTCATGCTAATAAGTGGCATTATTTTCATCTCTTCAGATTAACAAATCTTGTATTTTCATGTTTTCACTTGAGTAAATGCAAATTAAGATATGTTAATTTTCATCTTTTAAAAAGAACGAGAATTCAGATTTCTAATTTTTGTCTTTTTGTGGTGAAAAAGACAAAAAAACGAAAAAGCACAAATCATTCACCTTAACAAATACTACATTATATAAATTGTGCAGTCAAAATATTGATTGTATAATAAGTACAGGGATTTTGAAAGTGTTTGTAACCCCTGGAGTATCGACGATGGTTGTAGGAGTGCACAGATTGAAAGTGTTTGTAACCCCTGGAGTATCAAGGATGGCTGTAGGAGTGCACAGATTGAAAGTGTTTGTAACCCCTGGAGTATCGAGGATGGCTGTAGGAGTGCAGAGATTGAAAGTGTTTGTAACCCCTGGAGTATCGAGGATGGCTGTAGGGGTGCAGAGATTGAAAGTGTTTGTAACCCCTGGAGTATCGAGGATGGCTGTAGGGGTGCAGAGATTGAAAGTGATTGTAGCCCTGGAGTATCAAGGATGGTTGTAGGAGTGCACAGATTGAAAGTGTTTGTAACCCCTGGAGTATCGAGGATGGCTGTAGGAGTGCACAGATTGAAAGTGTTTGTAACCCCTGGCTGTATGCAGAGGAATGTAACCCCTGTATGGCTGTAGGGTGCACAGATTGAAAGTGTTTGTAACCACTGGAGTATCAAAGATTGAAAGTGTTTGTAACCCCTGGAGTATCGAGGATGGCTGTAGGGGTGCAGAGATTGAAAGTGTTTGTAACCCCTGGAGTATCGAGGATGGCTGTAGGGGTGCAGAGATTGAAAGTGTTTGTAACCCCTGGAGTATCGAGGATGGCTGTAGGAGTGCAGAGATTGAAAGTGTTTGTATCGAGGATGGCTGTATCAGAGATTGAAAGGATGGCTGTAGGAGTGCACAGATTGAAAGTGTTTGTAACCCCTGGAGTATCGAGGATGGCTGTAGGAGTGCAGAGATTGATTGAAAGTGTTTGTAACCCCTGGAGTATCGAGGATGGCTGTAGGAGTGCAGAGATTGAAAGTGTTTGTAACCCCTGTAAGTGTTTGTAACCCCTGGAGTCTCAAGGATGGCTGTAGGGGTGGAGTGCAGAGATTGAAAGTGTTTGTAACCCCTGGAGTATCAAGGATGGCTGTAGGAGTGCACAGATTGAAAGTGTTTGTAACCCCTGGAGTATCAAGGATGGCTGTAGGAGTGCACAGATTGAAAGTGTTTGTAACCCCTGGAGTATCAAGGATGGCTGTAGGAGTGCACAGATTGAAAGTGTTTGTAACCCCTGGAGTATCAAGGATGGCTGTGTAGGAAAGTGTTTGCAGGAGATTGAAAGTGTTTGTAACCCCTGGAGTATCAGGAGGATGGCTGTAGGAGGTGCTGTAGGAGCAGATTGAAAGTGTTTGTAACCCCTGGAGTATCAAGGATGGCTGTAGGAGTGCACAGATTGAAAGTGTTTGTAACCCCTGGAGTATCAAGGATGGCTGTAGGAGTGCACAGATTGAAAGTGTTTGTAACCCCTGGAGTATCAAGGATGGCTGTAGGAGTGCACAGATTGAGTTGCTGTAGGAGTGCACAGATTGAAGTGTTTGTAACCCCTGGATGGTATCACAGGATGGCTGTAGGATGTGCACAGATTGAAAGTGTTTGTAACCTCTGGAGTATCAAGGATGGCTGTAGGAGTGCACAGATTGAAAGTGTTTGTAACCCCTGGAGTATCAAGGATGGCTGTAGATTGAAAGTGTTTGTGCACAGATTGAAAGTGTTTGTAACCCCTGGAGTATCAAGGATGGCTGTAGGAGTGCACAGATTGAAAGTGTTTGTAACCCCTGGAGTATCGAGGATGGCTGTAGGGGTGCAGAGATTGAAAGTGTTTGTAACCCCTGGAGTATCAAGGATGGCTGTAGGAGTGCACAGATTGAAAGTGTTTGTAACCCCTGGAGTATCAAGGATGGCTGTAGGAGTGCAGAGATTGAAAGTGTTTGTAACCCCTGGAGTATCAAGGATGGCTGTAGGAGTGCACAGATTGAAAGTGTTTGTAACCCCTGGAGTATCGAGGATGGCTGTAGGGGTGCAGAGATTGATTGAAAGTGTTTGTAACCCCTGGAGTATCGAGGATGGCTGTAGGAGTGCACAGATTGAAAGTGTTTGTAACCCCTGGAGTATCAAGGATGGCTGTAGGAGTGCACAGAGATTGAAAGTGTTTGTAACCCCTGGAGTATCAAGGATGGCTGTAGGGGTGCAGAGATTGATTGAAAGTGTTTGTAACCCCTGGAGTATCAAGGATGGCTGTAGGAGTGCACAGATTGAAAGTGTTTGTAACCCCTGGAGTATCAAGGATGGCTGTAGGAGTGCACAGATTGAAAGTGTTTGTAACCCCTGGAGTATCAAGGATGGCTGTAGGAGTGCACAGATTGAAAGTGTTTGTAACCCCTGGAGTTTACCAGTAAAATTTCTGAGTTTGACATACAGAATGATATGCAATATGGAGAATTTGTAACCCCTAACAGTATCAAGGACAAAAATATATAAGTAAAAGATTTAGCATTGAAAGTGTTTGTAACCCCTGGAGTATCGAGGAAATTTTAAATATATATAAGTGTTTGTGGAGGTCTTGGGGGAGATAGTTATATAGTCTCATCTATATTTATACACACCTCTTAATCTCTTTTTTTTCAAATTACAATATCTTTAAATAAAACTAAATGTTCAGTCACTTGCACTGAAACCTTCATCAATCTGCACAATAGCTATTAGCAGTCATTTTTGTAGAATTTTTTTCAGGGAGTCCAGAACCCCAATGCATAAATTTTGATCAGTCCCAATACTAAGAGATATAGTAAGGTCTCAAAATTAGAGCGAGTCCCACAAGAAAATCCAGCGTCCAGGACTGAAAATATACATATCTGAGTCCCAGAAATAACTGGTATAGTTCTGATTAACACAAAGTTGTTATTCATTGATGTGTGTGTTTTTCTTTTAAATCTCTGGATTTACATATAAATAAATTACTGTATGAGCATAAATGATTAGTACAATTACATCACATGTATATCTTGTATAAGTATATTGTACAGCAGAAAGTCTGCATCATTTTTTTTAAAAATCGTATAATCTCAGTGATCAAGCTAAGGTTTGCATTGGGCATCTTACAAAGAGGATTCCTTTCAAATCAAATGGGGTTTATTGGTATATTTTTTAACCAAAATCCTGAATCTTTCATTTCAATACTAAAAATCATTGATTTTCATGAGGAACCTAATTTTTGTTGATATCTTGGGTACTCTGACTCAATCCACAAATTTATATATGTCCACTAAACAATAAACAGATAAAAGATGACAAGAATTATAGTACTAGTGAATATTTGGACCAAAATTTATCCAAGAAAGAATAATGAAATTTGAGCCTTACAAAATATATGATTTTCAATATGTTTTAAGAAGTTATGGGGATGACTTCAACCCAAGCTGTGGTAGAATTTCTCGACTGATTCATTGTTAAGTTTTCATCTTCAGCCCTGTCTATTAACGTAAATAGAATGACCTCATGACCTCACATCTCCACAAGGAGACTGATCATATCACATTTAGTCAGATTTACTTCCATCATCAGTAATGTTGTTGTCTGTAGCATTTAGACAACCTAACCTTGATAAATGAATATTGTGTCATTCATTCAGATCCAAATGAGTGATTACCACAAGAATTTAAAATCAATGAAAATGAATTGTTTTATCTGTGTTCAATGCTCACTACCTTTATCATGGACCTTCAAATGCTTCCTATATATAATGAAGGCAATCACTTTTATAAAACACCAAGTTATTAAAATTCAGATGGTCAGGAAAACTTTATTTCTTTTGTTTGTTAACTCACTTTAATTTTATCACCCTGTGAAAAGCCAGGGTCATTTCGCATCAAGGTCACCTTGTAATGGCTGGTAGCTATCTCATTGAACATGTAGATGGCCTATCACATGCTCTTCAGAGGTGTTTTGTCATCACAAGAAGTTTCTTGCCCAAGGACACAATTGCAACCACAATGTGATCTTATGATCTCAAGTAAGGATTGAACCACACACCTTGGATTATGATCAACTGAGGCCACAAACTCTGATGCATCACCAGGGCCAAATCTAGTTCCATTTTTAAGCTGCCATTTAAAGATAGTTTCATAAGAATGATCTAAATTTCCTCTTTTCTTTACAAATATATGTTCAATATTACTTTTATTTTGCTCTTCTTGTTCTTTCTAACTCTATCATTTTCATTCTCATTTTGTAATGTATATTATAATAAATTGGTCTTTCTAATCACGTATATATTTGGGTAAAGGCATAGAGAAGGTAATAGGGAATGATATATTATATATACTTCAGTGTTAAGTGACACCGAGAGGGGGACCCTGCTGATAGCAGACAGACTGACAAATAGGAGTTTGACCTCAGGTCAGTGGGGTTGTCATGGCTTCACTACCTTCAGTGTTATTATAACGTATACCTTTTATTTATGTGTGGTAGGGGGATGCCTGGTCGGGGCATGGGGAGAGAGGGCAGTTCCAATGTTGAGAACAGACGGGTGTGTGTGACAGTCTCTGGATACTTAGCTGAGGTCTATTACTAAGCTAAGGGTTTCTCAGGTGTTGATCTAGACTAATACAGTATGTGTTGTACAAAGTGTAAATAAACCTGTAAATCAAACTTTTGCTGTTGTGATGTATTTCCTCTGACTTATATATCCACCCAGTCATGTTAAAATATAATACCATCAAATACTCCCAATATGCACCAATATGTCAATATCTTAAAATAATTCAGGATTGGTTGTCTGCCTGAACTCCCCTCACAGCCTCAGCTTGCTTCATGGACCTCATGTCTTAGGCTTCCCCGTGATTACTCAACTGCAAAGTCTATTCCCCTTTGTTTCTGCAAGGGACCTCTTCCCCTGAAACCTAACTACTGTATTACATATTTTACTATTCAATGTTGATCTTAAATCTCTATCACTTGATAGGATTGATTGAATACTGAAATTTAAAACCTACCTGAGAAATGTCTTTCTATGGTGAAGGGCCACTTCTCCTCACTGTGAGTAGACTTTTCTGAAGAATTGTGCCCTTTGTTGGACTCTTCCAAACTTTTTGACTTATGAAGGCCCTTATTATTAACCGTCCTTAAGATGTTTGCTAACTTGGCACGGCCTTCTGATGACAGAATGGGTAATTTCCTGCCAATGTTTCCTTTGTTTCCATTGTCACTTTCCTTGCTGCTTTCACTTATCTTAGAACTTTGTTTTTGTGAATCTAGCACTTTATCAGTCAATGATCCTTCTGTTTTGCCCAAATCTCTCACTTTGCTGTTGTTCTCCAGATATGTGAATGCTGACCTTTGACTTTCGTTAATTACAGATTTGTCTGGTTTAGAGTGACTGGTTGTTGTACAACCCCCTGACACACTTTGATAATCATCCACAATCATACAATCACTGTCATCATTGATCTCCTCCTCAAACACCTGAACGTAGATACATTCCTCGTTACTGTCAAGGTCAGGAAGGTCGTTTGAGTCCTCATCTATTGTAGGCGTAAGGTCTGCAATGCTATCTGACCACTGTTTAGAGTTCTGTTTCTCTTGGCGAATTTTGCACCATGTCCGGTTGTGCATTGAAGCCCTTTTGGATGGCTTTTTAGACTTGGATGAGGAACTGGATGATGTAGCCATGCTCTATAATACAAGGCCAAAGTTAGATAAGGCAACATCAAACGATCTGAACAGTAAATCATACAAGATAATCATGCATTGACATACATACAAATTTAAGAGAAAATTCAATAATCACTTTTCTAGGTCACATAGTCTATTTCTGGAGTATGCGTTATATTTTCCACCACTAACTAAAATAGAATGTTTCACCGTTGTATTAACGTTGTATTGTAGTGCAGGGTATCTCAACCCTTGTGAAAAAAATGATAATTATAAGTTGTAAACATGAGAATGAGGCTTGTGTTAAAAGGTGCTATATTTAATTGTCTGTTTTCTGTACAATAGCAGTTAGCGGACACTATCAGTGGATTTGTAAGGTTTGCTGACAACCTGCATGTCACATTTGAATTTCTTCAAAAAGGCACATGTCCAGAATATATACAATGTTCTAAGTTATCACATTTATGAAGATTACTCATTTTATTGAATTATGGGACTAGTGCACCTCCCCATCTAAATTTTGGAATTTTTTCAATCACTTTGGATTTTCTTCAGTCATCTCCTAAGCTTAAAAAATTTAGCCTTTAGCATGACTGATGAGTCCTAGTAGGTAGAAACAGCTGTATGGTGCAGTTTAGTTCAATAATATTTGGCACTAGCCTATCTTATTCCAAACTTATCTTAAAGGCACTATTCACATGTATTTTTTGTATAATACCATTGATTTAGAACCCTTATCTCATCAACAAATGGGTGAAAGATAATTTTTGTTTTACCCTGCTTGTGTTACTAAATATAGTATACATGTTTTTGTTGTTTCAGTGCTTAGTAGTATTGATATATGACCTCATGGACACACATGTTGGTAACTGAAATGTTGAATGGATGTCATAGATTAAAATAATGATGTGGCGAATGACTTGTTACAAAATGTCATACTATTATCTTGACAGGAGAATCGTCAACGAAAAGCATGGATGATACCCGTCCAGCTGCAGGTAGTAGAAAATTGTGTGACACACTGTGATTTACCTTCAATGTCACTTTATTATTATAACAGACAAGTTTAACTGTTAGATGCTGTGTGTATGTATTACAGGACGGACAAGTTTAACTGTCAAATGCTGTGTGTATGTATTACAGGACAGACAAGTTAAACTGCTAGATGCTGTGTGTATGTATTACAGGACAGACAAGTTTAACTGTCAGATGCTGTGTGTATGTATTACAGGACAGACAAGTTTGACTGTTAGATGCTGTGTGTATGTATTACAGGACAGACAAGTTTAAATGTTAGATGCTGTGTGTATGTATTACAGGACAGACAAGTTTAACTGTTAGATGCTGTGTGTATGTATTACAGGACAGACAAGTTTAACCGTTAGATTCTGTGTTTTAACTGTTTTCAGCTGCCTTTTTGATGATATACACACAACATAATAAATTTATAATAATCAAATAAGTTATGTATATGTATGATATAAATACCAAATGAGAAGACTTACATACAAATGTAGGCTATGTCTGTTATCTAATCCTTGCTGTATGTTTTCGCAATAAAATCTGGTGAAATGAAATACAACACAATACCAATATGCATGTTTCCAATGATCCTTATGTTTGACTTAATTTATCTAACAGGTTTCATGTCCACAATTATGACCTTTCTGCCTTTTCAGTGGACAAGCATGTTTGAACTAGCACATGATGGAACTCTGAACACTATTTATGAATACTAGTAGTAATTATCCACCTGACCTATCAAAACATTTGGTATGACACTTGGCCTATCACAACAGTCTCCAGGAAGTGTTTATTTAATTACATCTGTAAGGTAAACACATGTTAATTAAGTCAACAATGGCACACCTGAATAGGGTGGCACAACATCAGACCAATCTACCAGTCTAAATCTGGAACCTTGATTTACACCATATAACACTTTTCGTGGTGATGTTATTTGATTTCATCATCTTTAGAAATATACTGTATATATGAATGTAGATGTACAATTCAACTGATTTGGACGATACACAGGTAAAGCATATGTATTTTTAAGTCTGACTTCAATTTATTACTTTCTAGTCAACATCAATATATAGGTTTTTGTACAATTACTAACGAAGATCAATGTCAACAATTCCTCGTACACATGCATGTATACATATATATATGTACATATCCAGTCTGCCAATTTCAACAGGTCACAGTGTCATAGATCATACAAATGTGACCCTCTTCCAACGCCATATTCATAATTATAAGCCCTCCTCCATCCCCGCCTTCTCATGGGTCACAGTATTGTTTATATATGTTGAGAATTACAACCGACATTTGATTTAATGTATTGCAATTACACGACCACACCCCCACCGTCCCTTCCACTCTCTACAAATGTTCGGTGGGACTCTGCGGAATGCGAGTTATTAACAAACAAAGTACGATGATACCTGGCAAATACTTTTACACTCTGACTTTATAGCTGCACCCTGTACGTTTCGTGTACCGGCCAGGGAGATAACTTATCAATACATGTTCAGATATATGTGATCTCGGCCATTGATTTGAATTCAAAACAACATAGAGACACGCCTTAAATGAAGGCTGGTCTTAGATTACCACCTTAGTATGCACCGAATTATGTACACAGATACTTACCTGTGAAATCATGATTGCCTCAATATGATATGATTGTTTTTTGACCGCAAGCAAGTGCTTGTACAAGTTTATTACCTCTAAGCTCAGTCTGATAGCCATTTCCATGTCGCGCTCAAAATCAAGGGTGAGCTTATCTCTCGCACATTCAGCTTGTTCCTCATCGCTGTCATCTCCATCGTTTGAACCCTCTTCGTCACTGTCGTCATCGTCTGAGATAACGATGACAGAGTCCATTTTTTCTTCCATTGAGTGCACGTTTATTTTTTCCTCTGTGGTTTGTTGCGTGTGTAATGCACATTCGGAACTCTCCGTCAACATAGAAATCGCCAACTCGTCCAACATTTAAGTTACTGAATACCAATTCGGCCGAAGAAGTGACAGACCTGGACAAATCAATAGACTCACTGTATATAAAAAAAGATCGTGTATTGTTTGTAAAGTACTTCCATGTTTAACATGGCTTAAAACATACAAATTACCTCTCATTGATTAATAGCGTGGTTAAACTCTTTACAGCTTGTGTTCAATCCTACCGTTAGATATAAAATAAACACTATAGTATGTGAAATGATAGATAAATCTCGAAATTACACTTGTATAGGGAATATGGTAATATTCTTTAAAATAAAGTAATATTTCTCTTGGCTTTACGTTTTTTGTTTTGTTTTTTGTTTTGTTTTTATTTTATATATATATATATTTTTATTATTATTATTTTTTTTTTTTTTTTGGAGAGTGGGTTTGATAGTTGCAATCGTTTTTATACACTCTAAATTAGTGTCCGTGACGCATTAGTTTTGGACCCCTTAAGAACCCAACATGCGAAATTGCCATCAAACAAATACATACAAGAATTCAAATGAGTTCACACAATTTGATTTTTTTTTAAACTGAACGTTGAAACACCAATATCTTTATAAAAAAAAATATCCACAGATTCGTCTTAAATTTTGCAAACCTGAAATGGTTGACATGTGTTTCGAGCATGTGACTGCAATTTCCTTTCTAATGACATAACTAATTCACAGAGACGTTTGAGTTAGCTTAGTGAGATTTTTTATAACACAAACTAATTAAATGAAGTTATTTTTTTATCGGTCGCTTTACAATTTGCAAGTGATGTACCCCCACTGTTACATGTAATTCAAACTTGAAATGAGTCATCAAAAATGATAAATTAAAAATCCCAACTTTTTCAATATAAGACGTCCTTGTTTGGACTTTTGCAACCAAGAAGGCGTGTCCTATTATTCCTGGTCGATTTTCATTCTTTGAACGGACGACAAAAAACTGGCATTCGAGGATGGATTGATTGGTTATATCTGAGAGGATGCTTGACATGTAAATATGTGTACCAAGAAAAAATACACAAATTTGCTAAAAAAAATATATTCTCAAAAAAATTATGGTGCATGGTTTTAATTACAAATTTTCCTTTTTTGACTGGAAGCCTAACATGTTATAGAAACCAAAAAACACCAGGTGCGAGGTCAAGCAGGTCAATAGTTCTAAGTGATACGGCTCTACAAATTGGCCGTTCCGAAATATATAACGGGCCAGAGCAGATGTCTCCACGATACATAGACTCCGTCAGCTCCTTATGGCAACAGAAAAATAGTATCAATCAATATTCAAGCAAATTTAACTGGGATCAGTAATTGTTAAATATAATGAGCATCTCTGCCTGAGGTTTCAGCTGTTAATGTATTCGTGTGCCCCTCTTTCATATTTTTTAACTTAACGTTTGTTAAACTTGTTTGGCACTCGGAATCAATGTAAAAACAAAATAGCTAACATGAATGGGACAGTGGGTGTCCGTCTAGGGACCGATCAGTTACTGGTGGATTGGGAACAGAGAATGTACATGTCCAGCTTATGACATTTGGGTCGAGTTTGTATTGAGCAAAATCATTTAAACGGGACGAGTCGACTATGTATCTGCTCATCCTGCACGATGATTTCCGAACTTTTGTCATCACGTGATGGGGATTTCCCTATACTTCCCCAATGTCGAAATCAACCAATGAGAAAAAGACAAATCGTACAGTTTTAAAAAGAAGAAAAAAAAATCAATAGCCGTTGCAAAGCATTATGAACGGTTAGAATTGCTAGTAAGCAATGCGTTGGTAACCAACACGTAATACATCACTGTATTGCCTAAGCTTACAGCCGGGTGACGAGTCAAATAGGGATTCCCAGGTAGATATCACGACATTGCCAAATATATATTTCTATGGAAATCCCCACAACGCTGGGTAGCCACTGGTGTATTGTTTGTTTATTACCAACATAACGTTATATGTTAGTTTGATGTGGTCTAACACTTTTAGTTGCCCTTTGGTTATAATATGATTATAGTGACATATTGTAGTTCTCAATAAGTTATGGGAAGATGCAGAAACATGATCAACACAACGATAGCTTTCATCTTCGTTTTTACTTGTAGCACAGAGGCCTAGGTATCGCCAAAACATAGAAGGTTAGATAATTACAGTAGTCGCCCTTGGCCTATTGGTATCATGTACACATTTGATCCTTCGTTCTCGAGATATACATTATTTAGTTTAAACCTGGACTGGTTAAAGGGATCGCCTTGATGTTAATATGGAGCTTTTCCAACGCGGGGACACAATCAATGGTCCAGTATACCGCCTGAAGCGTATAGTTTGATGTACCCATTAGAGACGAGAGCGAGTTTCAGCCCGACAGGGACATGTCTACTTAGCCATCTCGACATGTATTTCCGAATTCGTCAGGTCATAACAGGGTCCGGGTGATCAGTACTCACTGGAAAGATAAAGCATTTCTCTTAAACGCATTAGATGTGTTACCAAGATCTACGGCCCCCAGAATATATACATTTGTATCAAGAGTTACATCCTTTGCACTGTATAATGCATATATGTTCCGTGGATTGGGGATTCGTGCCAAGTCCCAGGGGCCATGGGCCCATGTTTAAGTAAAACCACAAAACTTTACATCATAAGAATATATGTAAAAAAAAACATGCATCGCTGATTGATATTGATAACTAATTTAACCTGAGCCATTTCAAGGTATTTTAGAAAAATATTAATATATCGTTTTGTAGATAAAAATTCAAAACGTATGCCTCTGATCAGTCAGATTTAACATTTCTTAATCCATCAGTCTAAACAACAACAACAACATCTGTAAGAAGGGGGCCGTGATTCGGCTGTCGCTTAGAGAATTCTCCTCCGCAATATTGTGTACTCATATAGAGACCTGAATTGATGATCGGCCTATACTGAAGTGATTGGGTCATTTGATAAGATACTTTACCCTAATTTTTCTGGATGACACGTGATGATGGACCTCCCGGTTGCTTTTCAGTGAGGTAGCCACCAGTCACTAATGGGAGCCCCCATAATGTTCAATAGTATATCAATATAACACATATAGGTAGTTCACAGGGGTGTAGATAATTACTTGCATATATACACTTAGGTTGGTGTAGTCTGGGCCCCGATAATCTTATCACTGGGTGTACAGCTTCGGCCAGTTAATTAATTAGAGACAATCCCCACTTCCTTGATAATCAAACTTATGCAATTTCCCGTTCGGACAGTGGCCACCTAGTAGTAGAGTAATTATTAGGGTCTATTTCAAGTAACAAATTAGCAGGAGGAATCTCAACCTTGCACCTCGAGTACAGGTGGCTATACTTCAACAATCGTATCATCTAGCAACAATTGAAATCCATATTAGGGGATGGCCGGACAAGCTTGGTCCAGAGTAAGATAAAAGGGGGGAGATCTTTAGGTTAGAACACACTGCCTTGGGGGAGTCCACCAGACGGACAGACGACACCACACCTGTATCCAGTGCCAGCAATAAACTACAGAAGTACCAGCAGCCGAGTTTGTCTCTTGTTTTGTTACAAAGTGGTACAACCAGCATATAAACAACAAATGATAGAAGAAAAACCATCCACCAAGATCACTCTGGGATCTACTGTATGTACATGTACTTTACACAGAAATTAACTTCTTAACAACTTAAAAAGCCTGGGAGCGAAATGGATTTGCAAATTTTGTGATTGGTGAACACATCGTGTGGTTGTTAAATATTTGTAAGTCAGCCGCTAAGTTTTGGATATTCTGAAAGGTGGAATCACTTTGGAATGATTTACCAAACAGTGAATTTAGCTTTTATTTGGTAGTAATGATCTCTCTGAGGACCTAAACTATTTTGTCTTTACACATGTGCAAAATTTCATTAAATCCAGCAAAAGGTTTTAAAGATTCTTATACGATGATGTATTTATGTCTGTGTGTGAATGCTTAATCATGTATACATACGTAGGTGGCAATGGACTTGTTGTGTATAGCATCGTATGGTGACCACACAAATGAATTTGATAACACTAGACTGGTTGTTCATTGTTTGTTAAAAGTCATAGTACATAACCATCCTAGATGTTTCTCCCGCTCTCTAACTCGGGCCCATGCATTTCCCCGCTCTCCTCTCTGCCCAGTGTCCCGGCTTCAACTCTCCCTCGGACTCTCTCGCAATACCTAATATCCCATATACTTTAGTTTTACAACTTTTCTATCATCACGCCCATTGTGCATATGATTAAAAGGGCACGTAAGTCTAGGAGTACCTGTTATCAACCCCACACCCTTTTGATCTACCTTCAAATTCAAATTCATTTATTGACTTTGAGCTTTACAGCTCATCAGTATGTACACAATACAAATAAATACAGTGGCAGGCAATGCAATACCGCAGTGGAGAATGGACAGAAAATGCATGTAGTTACATTTATTTTAACATTATATCATGCTATTCCTCAACTGGGTGGCATCATATATATAATTAATTAACATAGTTAATTCTTTAAAGTTCGTTGTACTCAATAATTGTATCAGCTTGAAAACTGATGGTTTTTTTCCAGTAATACAATTTTATACGTCTCTCTCTTAAAGCTTGATAAAATGGACAAATAAACAAAAAATGATATTCGTCTTCAATATCTTCAGAATTACAAATTCTGCATATACGTTCATTTCTAACAATGTTTCGGTATCTCCCGGTTTCACTATACAGCATATGCGCTGATAAACGTAATCTAGTTAGAGCAATTCTATTTCGCTTTGGTATATATTTACATAAATATTGTTGCAATGTTAAATTATCAACTAAATGTCTATACAAAAAACATTTCGAGGAATTCTCTAATATTTCAAACAATTCTTGCCGTGCATTATCAAAGATTCTCT